AAAATTACTTTTTCGGTTTTAAATGATGATGCTTGTTTTTGTTTGGTATAAATTATAAAGGTATGTTTATATGAAATCAAATCACTTAAATTGAAACAACTAAAAAGAGGAAAGCTTTTTTTCTTGAAAATTTCTTTTTTTATTTCTTATCAATTTTCAGAAAGAGATTAATGAATCTGAACTATTAAAGTGACTTTATTGATTTGACAAATTGAATTAGTTGAAAATGAATGATGATTTTTCTCTTGATTCCTCATAATTATAACTTGTGATTTTTTTTATATGAATTATGGTCTTGATATTCTCGATATTTGATATATGAGATTTTTCTATGAATCAAGATCTTGTTTTTGAATTCTCATGTTTCTTTTTGCTAATTAATAAATAGCAGAATTATTTAGATGAATCATACACAATTGATCTTTCATCTTTCATATCATGATTTTCATATGACACTTTTGTATTTATGTAATGCTTAGAGCATTGATATAAGAAGAAAATGAATTACACCATTATAAAATTTTCCTCTTCTTCTTTCTTGTTTACAATGAAAATGGGGAGAAAGAAAATCGCTAGCATCTCGATAGATTGATAAATCAATTTATGTCATTTTAAATCTCTTGAAAATTAGTTTGATGATTTGATTATTTGAATCTAAATGAGATTTTTTTCCAATCGAATCATGAATCTTCTCATTTCTTAACTTAAGATTTTCTTTTATGAATCAAGATCTCTTGCTCTTTATTCTCGTATGATTCTTACATTTTGTTTAAGAGAAAATTTTCTATATGAATCATGTCTTTTGGTATTTAAATAATCTTTGATATTATATCTTTCATGCCATGATTTATTTATGATACTCCCTTATATTCATAAATTGTATACCTCATCACATTTGATTTAAATTTATCTTTGTCATGATGTGAAAATTGGTGTAAAAAGAAAAGAATTATAAAATTATATTCTTTCCTTTTTTTTATAATGACAAAGGGGGAGAAAGAACTTACTAGAAGCAAAATTGCTAGCTTGCATATTTCAAAAGAGAAGAAAAAAACTTGCTATCTTAAACATCACCAAAAAATGCAAGCTTGCCTATCTTAAGAAGCAAAAATGCAAACTTGTAAAATTTACAATTTTACATATCTTTAAAATTAAATGATGATTTGATGATTATGCATGTTGTAAAGTGATAAAAAATTTTTCCTAGCTTGTATATTGTCAAACTTGTATATCTAAAACTTGACAGAAGCACTTCTCTTTTTTGTTGATAACAAAGGGGGAGAAGATGTGATGAT